TGCACATCTCGTGTGACACGCACACACCCCTGTTATTAGGGTTCGTGTAACCCCGTTACACCCTAAGTACCTAGTCGCAAGGTAGAAAAACAAGAAACTCTATCATGAGAATAAGCATACCTATTTCAAGTATAAATAGAGCTTATAATGCAAATTTACTCCGTGATAGTAGAGCAAAATACTCTCTTTTGTTAGAGCCCTTTTCTGAAAGTGCGCACTAATCCAACCTTTGTGCGTTTGTGAACGCGGACTTTGAGCCAAAGATCTCTCTGAGCGACCCGTTGCAATATTTGTATAAGCTGGTAATAACGTGCAAGGTAAGAATTCTTGCAAATGCACAATCAAAAGACTAAAATGCGCCATCATTTTCTTATGTTAAAAAATATATATTTCGTACAAGATTTTCGGCTAAGAAAGTTTGCAAAAAAAATTATTGGCTATCGTTATCCTAGTATAGAAAAAGTATCAGGGTGTAAACTGATTTCTATATTGGGAGGTTGGAGCCTGAAGACAATGTTAATTTTGAGTAAATAAGTCAATCTAGGTATTCCGCATACATGGCGTATTGACTAAAAACTAAAGCATCTGTTGGACCCATGGCACGACATTTGAAGGTACAGGTACCACAATCACAATTTTCAATCTCTGGTTCTTCCTATTTGTACCCTGTACCGTCAAGAGTTGTTCCATGTATCCACTGGCTCTGACGAGTTTACGTGGCCAGGTCTTTTGCACTTTACCCTTGAATTTATAGTCTTTCGACTAATTGTGCAGGACCAAATGTCATTAATAGTAAGCTCAAAAGCATATTTACAAATCAAATATCAACATATAATGACATCTTTTCTTCTGTAAGTTTATACTCAATCATGTTGACTAAAATGTCGAATTATGCGAGTTAATTCCAATATTAATTCACTCTCATTTTGGGTCAAATACGATCAGGAAAAAGAAATTCAGCTTGAATTGGGTAATGGTCTGATGGATAATGGCCATTTTGGTCTTCAATAATAACTTGCACTGTCAGAACCGTCATCTGAGGACGAAAGAAAATCCAGTCAATATGATGTGAAGCACGGACAGCATCTTTCTCGTCATCATTCTTGATACCAGCCCAACCATGATATGAATCCGATACGTCGCCAATTTGTATTGCTGCTTCAGGCCAAGCTTCATGAAAGTGTGGTCCGACCTTTTCCAATGTAAAGTAGCTATATGTATGAGTATAGCGGTACGTGTTGAAGTCTCCAATCAGAAATACTGGAGCATCGCCCGCAATTTTCTGGATCCGGTCCCAAAGCAACTTGGAACTTTCACGGCGTGACTGTATGCCCATGTGATCCAATTGAGTGTTAAAAACATAAAGCACCTGTTGAGTAGCAAGCAAACGGAATTTTCCCCAGGTTGCCATACGCACACAGGCAGCATCCCACCCCTTTTTCCAAGGCGTATCTGGTTCCTCCGAAAGCCAAAAATTCCCGTCTTCAAGTCGTTCCACTACAGTTGGATCGTAAAAAATTTGTTCGTGCTCACCATCGTTCTCGCGTTCAAGGCCAAAACGTTCATACGGGTGTTTTAACAAACTCTATCGCATAACACACTAATCAGTCAAAGAATTTGGAAATTTCACACAACTCTTCTTACCTTTAGTTCTTCTAGTTGTTCTTTATAACCTTCTTGCGTACCCATGATATACGGTTGGTAGCGAGCAATAATGTCCGCCACGTGATGCTTTCGGTAATCCCAGCCATTCAGGCCGTCGTCTTCGCGGGAGTTTCTCAAATTAAATGTCATAATTTTAAAGGTTGGCTGCGGCATATTATTGTGCTGGCTCAATTGTACCACTCGCAAGCTCGACTCGTCGTCATACGTTGATAGCATAGCCTCTGATTCCCTCATCAGGCTTTTGTAGCCAACAACGAGCATCATGAACACGAAAGTACCAGCGAGCATCAAGACACGTTTAGCTTTGGGTGTGCAAAGATGATGCGATTGCGAATGGCAGTCGCTACAATGCGGTGCTGATATACGTGGAGGCATTGACTTCTTCATGGCCAAAGGAGCAGATTACAATCTGAACTTTTGAAACAAGCTTTCGATGTCTTTTTGGCGTAAACAAAAAGACTGTGAAACTTTTATTGGTTTAAACGCAACCAATAATGTGCAATGCAGATTCATCATGACAAATTACCGTTATATTCTATTTATCATTAAGCTTATAAAAACCATACATTTAGTTATAGAAGTAGAAGTTATCAAATAGTACTGTAACAATATGTTAGTAAACATGCTGGTTTCTGGGTTTTTCAAGCATTGGTAATTTGAATAAAATTGAATATACTAGTGATGGCCCAGGGTCTCTCTGATTAAACACAAGCACTTGTTAGTGCGATAGAGGTCATTTTTTTAAAGCTCCTTTCATCTTATAATTCAGCGAGTCATTGTTTGCAGCTCGTTCCTGAAAAGATGATACACGAAAGGACCACGAAAAATCTCAACCTGCTATCGCATCGTTGATTTTAGCTTTCGATGATAGCTAAAGAGAAATATTGATCAAGATTAAATTATACAACTGCTTATCCAAAACGTATATTCAAACTTACGCGTCAGTGTACTGATTTAGGTGAGTATATTTTTTAGCCTGAAAAATTACTATACTAGTGCTGACACTGTTAAAATCAGAATTTTGTGCTTTAAAAGATCTTCTGTCTATAGCGATATATAGACTATTGCTTGCTAATGGTGAGTGTCGAGGAAGCAGAGCAGAGAAGAATGTCTAGCCCCGCACAGCAACGGCTTAAAATCATGACGTTTAACGTCAGATTCGCCGGCGCAAATGACGGACTAAACGGCTGGGATTACAGAAAGGATCATGTGGCAGACATTATTAATCGATATCGTCCCGCTATCATTGGGACGCAGGAGGGACTCAAGTCGCAATTGACAGAGCTCGAAGTAAGAAACGCATCGTAAATGATCAAAATTGTATAATTTTATCAATACGTGACGCATGTTCTACACTGTAGGGTTTGCTAGCGCATCCATACAAGCGCTTTGGTGTTGAGCGAGAAAAAAATGGCGAGTTCGTGCAGATTTTTTACGATACAACTGTGGTAGAATGTTTAGATGATGGAAATTTCTGGCTCTCGGAATCACCTGACACGCCATGGACAAAGGGATGGGATGCTGCTAATGTGCGCATGGTCACTTGGGGCAAGTTTCGCTTGTGTATTACGCATCAGGAGTTTTTCGTCTTCAATACGCATCTGGATCATGTTGGTCTTAAGTCTCATGAAGAAGGGTCAAAACTACTGCATGAACGCATTGAAAAGATTGCAGGACGCACTCCATTGTTTCTTTTGGGAGACTTTAATTCGTACCGCCACACTTGCCTGTATAAGTACTTGACATCCCAAAAGGAAGGACCAAGGCTCAATGAAGCATGGTCCGAAGCGACAATTCAGATTGGGGACGTCTCCCATTCATTTCATGACTGGGCTGGTATCAAGAGCGATACCGAAAAGGATACGATCCGTGGTGCAAACCACATCGACTGGATTTTCTATCGCCCACAGATGACGGTACTGACGACACAAGTTATTATTGAGGACCGCAACGGACGCTACCCATCGGATCACTACCCAGTTCAGGCTGAAGTGATCATACCTGCACCAGAAGAAGCGTCTTTGCTGCAAACTTAGATCACGACGAGACAATGTCAAAATTTACAAAAAAAATCTTTTATTATGAAGAGCTTTCGCCGCGTACTTTTCTTACTTTTCCGGTAGCCTTCATACACATCCAACAGTTGCTCTGACGATATTTAAGGTAAATAAAAGCTCAATATTCGGTAATAAAAGAGATTCCACGCTGCAACGCCTTTTGTACAAGCAATCATATGGCGTCTTCAACAAGTACCTTGAGTAATGCTACTGCTTTCTATACATGTTTATACTCTGTTTGTAGCAGTAACTTCGTCCCACTCGTACCCGAGTACCCGAGCCATAAAACCCGATTTCGATTCTTTTTGAGCCAATCGCATCTTAAACACTGCATGACATGTACGACACACACGTTGAGGGTCTTTAACTTGTTTACCACCTGTACTCGTTCGACCAGGAAAATCTTTCGGGAATTGATGCATTTCGACAGTAAATGCTGAGCAGTCAGAGCAGCACACTCGTCCACAGTGGCGGCAGTGGTGACGTCGGGTACCAAACTTGAAACTTGATGAGCACAGCATGCATGCTCGACGTTCTTTTTCATTTATCCATGTAGGCGGTTGTGTAATTGCGCTAAAAAGTTTTTTTAAGTACTTTTTGTTCGCCACTTCAACCACTAGTCGTCCCTTAGCATCTGGTTCGTTTAGAGACGCACCTTGCTTGATTAATGCACAAGCAATATCAATTAATTCACGCTCGACAGCAACGTGCAAAAGCGTAGATCCATCGGCTAGCTGAATACTGAAATCCGCTCCTCTTTTAAGAAGAAGTTCCGTAATGGCGGGATCAGTTTGACGCGTAGTCATAATGTGAACCACTAACGGACTTTGAAATCGAGCATTCACTTTATCTACTTCAGCACCGTGTTTAATCAAATAATCCACGAGACGATATCCGTTTTTGCGATCACGGGAAACAGCAAAGTGAAGCGCGTTGTTCTCGTTGCGATCCGTCAAAAGAATTAATTCTTTTATGTCTTCCGATTTGCACAGGTCCATGACGATCTGGTACTGACCCTTGCGTACAGCCAAGTGCAGAGCAGTTTGGTGGTGTTTTAATTCACGAAACAGAACGTCAGCCTTAAAGTGAAGCAGCAACTTCACAGTCTTGTCATCACCGGCGTCTACAGCATTTATCAGAGCTGTTCGCCCGTCAGCATTAACAATATTAGGAGTACAGCCTGCTTCCAGTAGTAATCGCGCAATGCGAGGGTCTTTGGTCAAGTGCAAAGGCGTATTGCCGTCGTTATCTTGAACAAGAACATCAGCTTCCCAGTCCAAAAGAATTCCAACTACCTCAACATTTTGGTATAAAGATGCAGTGTGAAGTGGAGTGCGACCACGACGGTTGCGCGCGTTAATGTCCGAGCCATTTTGCAGTAACTTGAGCACATCTTGCTCATTACAGCAATTAGCAGCCACATGTAGTACTGTGTCACCCGGGTCCATGGCAACCTGACGAGAGGCATTGGGCATGTCATCGTCATCATCGTCGTAGTCCTTTGTAAAGCGAAAACGAGACACGGCACGGCCACGACTTTCGCCTGAGTACCTCGGTAATTTCATCGACGAACCCCGATCCCCTTCAGACGAATCATCTGATACTGGGTCACTCGATGCAGATTGAGCAGTAAGTCGATTTTGTTCCTCCAATTGAGCAGCTTTACGCTTTTCATCAAGCAAAAGCTGTTTTTCCGCGGCAAGGCGTTCCTCCCCTTTCTTTTTCTTTTCGGCAAGCTCAATTTCGCGCTGTTGAATCTCGGCAAGCTCCTTTTGACGCTGCTTGATATCGGCAAGCTCCTTTTGACGCTGAGCTTCACGGTGACGCTCACGCATGACGTGGAATCGACACCGAGTAATGAAACCGCGAGTCATCCTCTGCAGAGCAACTGCTGCTATCTGCATGCGAGCGTAACGACGACGAGCTATCAGACCGCGCACAGCAGCCTGAATCAGTATAACAAACTCGCCATAACGCTTTGCCAGCTGGGCCTCCACAAATTGAATGGCCGAACGACGAAAGAATACACGAGTAAGACCAACTTGAATTCCAGCTACAGTGTCTGTAGTCATACCAGCCAACTCAGGATACCGCTTAGCATGAGCTCTAAGTAGGTATTTAACAAGTAAACTTGCTGCTTCTTTGCGCTCATTGCTGTCGAATATATCTTCAGCTGCTTCTGGAGGAATACGCTTTAGAATCTCGCCATTAGCTAGCGGACGATAGCGGTGGATAAACTGTTGGTGGGTAATTCGAACAGGATATCCAGCGCGATTGACACGCACAGCTTCCAAAACTCCACCAGCTTTAAGCTGAAGGCAGACACGCTTGGCTATCAGCAAATTAGCCTTAGCTAGATCGTTGGGTTTCAAGCAGCGCACATAATGACAGTCCGTGACATTAATTGTTTCAAGCAAGACCTTAAGCTGATTACGAAACTGAAGCCCCAGACTCATTCGAGAAGCGACACTGGTTGCTCGGCCTTTTGCTTTTTTTATCGGCGTCTTTCTTTCCGAAACGACCTGTAATAGTCCACGTACGAATGGTTTGGACGATCGACTAATGATAGCAGTGATTTCTGGATACAAAATGTCCTTGTTCTTTTCACAGAACCCAAATGTATCGTAAGTAACAGCCCCGGCATAGTGATGCACAACGAATAAGTGATTTGCCATCTCACTCTTGTTCGCACTAAAGTGTGGATTTGATGCGTGTTGACGATATAGCTTTCGAGAAAAGTTTTGATCGTTACCTTGAGGAACAATGCACTCTTCATCGAGAGCGGGAAGAATACCAAATGGCCTTCCTTGAATCAACTCAATGCACGGACCATTGTCAGGAAAATTAATAAAACTCCATTGGATTTCCTCCTTCTCATACGTTTCTTGTTCCATGCGTAAAACAGTGAGATTGAAATGTTGCTGCAAGGTTTCATTTGCAAAATTAATACACAGCTGTTCAAACGAGTTGTGTTCAAGATCTTCAAACCCAAAGATATCTAAAAGTCCAATGAACGGCACATCACGGTCTTCATTCTCCACAATATCATTGATACGAATTACAAGCCAGTCAAACAGTTTCCCATATAAAAAACGAGCAAGTGCGTCACGCGCATTCTCAGCGGCATCCGGAAGCAAGCCTATCGAGAAGTGTTCTTCCTTTGTCTGAATATTGCGATTACAAATGGCCTGTTCTAAGCCTTCTTTGTCAACTTCTAAAAAGTCAAGTACTACTTTCATCGAATCTTCGCACATCATAGAGATTTCAGACCCTTCCGTACCCGAGGCTTGGTGAGTTTCATCAAACTCTAAATTACCAATGTGCAATAATGCTGATATCGTGACAAAAATGCTTTCCATATCGTTGTTATCGAATCCCATGGTTTGCATAGCGTTTTTCAAGACCATAAACTGATCCGCATCATTCACGCCATCCTTCCGCTTGGTACAAGTACTCTGATTTAAATAGTGAAACTTCGTTGGCGCCTTAAGGTTCCATCGCTTTTTTTCCTCGACCGTGGCACCAGCAATGATTTCGTAGAAAACGTGGTAATTTCGCTCCGACTCGCCTTGGTAGGCAAGACGGACTTTCTCCAGCAGATACGTTTGGATAGATGCCCCAATCAAACTTCCGTCTGGAGAAAATTCCATCTTAATAAACTTTCCAAAGCGACTACTATTATCGTTTCGGATCGTACGCGCATTACCAAACGACTCTAGAATCGGATTAGACGATAGTACCTGCTTCATAACATTACTGTCGGCCGTAGCATTCTTATGTTGCGAGATCGTTGCCAAATAGTTCATCACAAACTTTGTTGTCTCAGTTTTACCAGCCCCACTCTCACCGCTAACTAAAATGGACTGATTCGCTGGTCCCCCATTCGAACTGCGACCAATAGGATTAACAAGTGACCGATAAGCTTTGTCAGCAATACTGAAAACATGGGGTGGCATATCTGGTACTTCCTGTCCAAGTGCACGTTTATCGCCATTTCGAATGTACTTGCGTGTGATCTTGTCCGTATAAATGCCCAAGTTTTGGAAAGGATTAATCGCTAGCAAGATTTCACCCGTCAAAGTATAAATTTCGTTGATCTTAAACCGCTCGTTTAGCGTATGGCATATACCAGGTTCGTGTAAATGTGGAAGTTGAATGAGATCTTCGACGACATCCTACATAACAGGAAAACATAGTATAGCTTAAAACCAAGCTTGCAATCGATACAAAGTAAGTATCACATACCATGTCACTACTATTCGCGAGCATCACACCATCAACTCGTTCTTCTTCAAGTGCCTGCACATCAATTTGTAACGTCTTTTCCGTGCGCGCATTTGGACCTTCAGTAAGACGTAGCGTCACTTCGCGCTGTTTGTCGCCATCCCGTGGCTCGCCAAGCTTGACAACTGTAGCGCGTTGCCACTCATCTAACTCCAAGTCGCGAAGCCATACACTTACGCCCTTTTCCATGGCTGCGTGAGTGTCGTGCCGAGAGTGACAAAACTCAGTTCCTTTGTCTCTCGCACTCTAGTAATGAATGCACTGACCGCTTTAAGGAAAAACGACCAAACGCGCTAATTGGGAGAGAGTACACCGAATAAGAGTGTACACTTCAGACCCCCGACCTAACAGCTTGCTAATAATTAGGTCTATCTGCCAAAATTTAGTGCATGAATGTTTTGCACTAAAGCAATAAATTGGTCTGCTTAGTGAACTTAAGTATGTTCCGACCACCAACTGGCTCTTTCTATCGCGTCTATTTCGTTGAATTTAGTTGACGATGTCGTATCGATTTAGCTAAAATCTACATCGGATTAGAAAGGAATCTCGTGATTGTCGCACGTCAAAAACCACATTTGGCAGCTGACAAGCCAATGTGTGGCCAGCACCCAAATGTCTCTTCTACTCACATAAAGCACAGCCAAGTCATCGTCGAAAAAAGTTTCAAATTGTCACGCGATTAATGTTCCTGGAGCTGTAGTAAATATGAAGAGAAGTTTGTGATATCAAATGAGTACTACGTTTTGCCACCATTTCAGCGATCAGCTGAAAGTCGAAGCGATAATATTAGACTGCAATGCCTTTGTATGATAATGCAGCACCAGCAAAGAAGTGGCGTGAAGGTTGTCAGATCGAACTCGTAAATAGAAGGGTCAAGTAGGTTCTCACACAGAAACAATCAGTTACATGTACTCTATGTCGGTTAGGTTAAATTACTACGATCCAGTCAGTATGAGGAGGTGATCCGCTATTTCATTACTTTACTTATTACATAAGATGAAGCTCATCCTCGGGTACTCTTGGAAGCGACGACTGCCTGCATTACTGTTCCCACAAAAAGTGCTGAGTAGCCGTGAATGCTGGCCTCGCGGGTAATTTTCTGGCTGGTCTTGCGATCTTCCTCCTGCGCAAGCTGTAGGCGCTTGCGTGGAGTGCAGGGTCTGATGAAGAACATTAGACATCGTTTAGTTAGAGTTAGACGTCATCTATGCCCAGTTCGTTGGCCGCGTACCTTTCTGGGGACGCTTGACTTTGAATTTCTATCGACTGGGGTCGCATGGGTTGGGGTGGCAATCAATTTGAAAATGTCAAGAAAGCTTACGACGCGACCTCAAGCCATTGCCTCGCACATTGTAGGCCATGCTGATGAAATGGTATTTTAAAGTTACTCAGAACCAGAGGATTATCAGCTTTATTACCAAAAGTTGCTATGATTTATTTTTATAATCGATAATGAACAAGTAAGCAATTTGCTTTTTATGAAATCAATTCAGGTATTCGCGACTGGCAAAGCCAATACATGTGGTTTATCCTGCTGGCAAAATTTTAAATTTTTAAGTAACTCACCTGCGGAGAAAAATATCGAAAGGACAACCCTAATAGTGTATCTGCAACCGCGTTAGGTACTCTAAGAATCTTTCGATTCACTAGCTGCCACCGTATAATACACGATCAAATCATGAGTGACAGTAAACTCTTTTCATTTTCAAGGTGTCTGCTGTTCAGTCGCTGATCCGAAATAATGCGACTTCAGACTTGATGCTATTCGTATTTTGCCGTGTAAATGTTGTCCAATAGGCAGACGAACCCTTTCAAAATACAAAAAAAACTGGAGCTCTTAGTATGCGTTGCTTCAGCCCAACAATATTTTCGTTCAATTATAACCAGCTCAATGCGTTTGCGCTTCGAGCTACAGGTGACGCCTCGTCGTGAAGCCTTCGTCTGCACACGCCCGCAATGCTTTAGCAATTGAATCTGTTATTTAAAATTATGAATCCTTAGTACTTTGGAGGTAAGTTCGAGGCAAACAAAGGGCAATCCAAATGCTGGTGGCACTGTCCGCGCAGAAGCCAAGTTAATCCAGACAGTTGTTATCGAAGACATCTGCTCAGGAACAGCGCTGAATACTAATCGAATGGCAAAACGCGTGTATTTGCTGCTGAACTTGCATTCGTGGATCGATGAGGCATCACAGTGCTAATTTCAGACAATCCAAAAAAGAGATCAAGCGATATCGAAAACTAAATACTGGTTCGAGAATTCAAGTCGACTGAGTCAGGTATGTCGACGCAGATTATAAAGAAACGCATGAGCTATGTCAGATAAGCATCAAGTTTTATTTGATCACAAGGATTGAAAGAAAATGCACATTTGGCATCGACAGTGGTGTTTGCTGGCGTCGTTCTGCTATTTCTTTTAAGTTGCAGCACCACAAGACGTTTAGCTCATTCCATTTTGGTGTCCACGTAATTGTATTTGGTTTTATTGGCAACCTGCTAGATCATAAAAATGGTCATCGTTATGAAATCATTCCAGCTTGAGTAACAGGGTCGAGGGTAAACCAGATGATGCTTTCAACTTTTCTTAAATGAATCGACGAGGAAGAACCAGAAAAATTTGTACGATGGATCTGCAGTCGAGATGGCCAACCATTAACGAAGATCCGACGAAGAAATAGCTCGACACATTCAGCGTTGACTTCGTATATTTTTGAGGTAGGCATCTGCTGGTGCCCAAGCTTTGACTATCCATCTTTAAACCTTTTAAATGTGTCAACGGCGCCATAAAACTTAAGCGATACGCTATTACGAGACCTCCATCATCATACATCCATATATTTATAATCAACTAAGCTTCAATCACTGGTTTGCATTTCTTGCTTTCCCACACCTACACGAACTGGTCGTTTTGTCATCCGTCTCTGAAGTGGTTGTCAATGACGCCGAGTGTGAACTCAAGCTTGTCATATGCGTCCTCAAGACTGTGTCTGATATTTAGCAAAAATGGCAGTAATCCAATCTATCTAAATTATAAGTTATCATGGACAAACGACTAGTGCGAGGATGACATCCTTGGGAACCGAAAACTAATGGCGACAAGATGTAAGCTCGACGAAGAAAAGTATTTCTCTCGCAAAAGTGATATATATTCGCAGAATTCACTGGTGGCGAGGACGCACACTTGCTTTCTAATTTGAATACGAGCGAAAGAGAGTGCACGCTATTTCGCCTACATCCAAAGTGTTTACTTGTATTTTAAGTCATGCGAGTAACGATAAAGTAGTTTGTGATAGGAGGTGCATAATGTTTAAAGAGGATCTTCAATGTGACCTTTCGAATCCAGTGAGCTATTGCTTTCAATTAATGAGCACGTAACAGATGGAAGTTCGTAATGTAGACGCATTATGGCAGGAAATGGCAAAAGAAAACAATTACGATAATATCGAGATATCTCGTCTTCTGAGCAAGTCGATGGCCGCGAAAAGTGTCTCCTCAAAAACAATAGCCCCCGTCAAATGTCGAGCCAATCGAGAGTCGTATTCGGACCCTATTGCATCCAGTAGAGATGACTACAAAAGTGAGAAGGATGTGGAGGCCATAAATGTACCAAAAATACTTAATCACTTGGCTGCTGAGCAACGTAGCGTGCGTAAGAACGCGGCCTTTGCGCTGGAGAATCTGTTTCTAAATGACGATAAGGAGTACACTGGAGCATCAAACGCTTTTGCCGAGATGGCCAAACCGTTGTTTAAGCGCTTTAATGATCCAATGGAAAAGGTTCGAGACGTTTGCATCCGAATCACAACAAAATTCATCGTAAAAGAAGAAGATCTGCTTCACTACTTACCGTATCTGATGTCCGCAATCACAAATCGCATTAATAGCCGTTATGGATACGACGAAGAAAATCAAGTCTTTTCACGCAATCAGTATATGCATGAAGCGTTTAAACGTGGAAGAGTATACGTAGCAAAAGATCAGGTCACTCGAATCAAGCCAAACGAGCCCTCAGAAGAAATTCGTTTATTGCTACTTAGCTTGGTCGATGCAGTTTTGCGAAATGCCTTTCAGAATCGAGCATCCTCCATTCTTCATGCGTACATATTCGATGTCATACTGGTCTTGATCAGTGGAGTGCAAGATGACTACCACGAAGTTAACATTACAAGCTGCCGCATACTTGCAAGCATTAGCAACCATATGGTCTCGGTCATGAAGCACTTTAGTGTCGCAACAATACGCTCTTTAATGCCTCTTTTGCTTCATCGTTTGGCACGTGTGCGAGTTGTAGCAGTAGAAACGATTCGTGCACTAGTGACATGTCCAAATGTCGACAAGTGCAAAGGCAGTGGCACTGAGGCAATCGTCGACCTGATTGGGCACCGTGAAGAGAACGTTATTCCTGTAGCATCCTTCTATACAGCCGAAGTGCGCTTGAACTACTTTGCCAAACTTGATCAAGATCAAGCCCCAATGGTTCGTCGTGCCTTTTTTGCGATGATCAGCGACTGGATGATTAATCTTCCTGACCGCTATGACCATGAGTCTCGTTTACTGCCATATTTACTAAGTGCAGTCAGTGATGAGGATTCAGCAATTTCAAAAGACGCACTGGAAACGCTGAAAATTCTAGGTGAACGATACGAAGGTGAGCATGAAAAAGAAGTACTCGAACTGAAGCAATATGGAGCTGATGGAAAAAATCCGACATACAACTACGAGGCTCCATTGCCTGTGCCATTTTTCGCAGGTCGACCGTCACTAGGCACGCGGTTATTTGTACGCGGGCGAGCTCGGCGTTTCCTAAACCCCATTCTGCGTGAGCTCGCCAATTGGCAAGATTCCACGCGTTCTCATGCAGTGCGTCTTTTAAAGTGTGTGCTTGTTTACTGTGAAGAGACGATTACAGTAGACGCGCATTTGTTGACAAATACTTTGTTGCGAGTCTGGAATACTCACGACAAATTGCTCCCCGAGCTTATGGAGTGCGCTGATCTAACTGGACGCTTTGTAGCTCCTAAAACCTACTTGCCTTTGTTGTTTTCGCACCTTCGAGGAGATTCTGACACTGTTCTTCCGCTAGCGGCAACATCAAGAGGCAGTGCTTCTTCTACTCCGCAGCTAGCCGTGGCATTACAAATTTTGCATTGTATGTTACAGGGTTCTCTAGACAAAACAGTACTCCCACATGTTTCTGAGATCCTGGAAATCATCGCATTGCCGTCGATTCTCGACCATAAAAGTAGCGCAGTGAAATCGGCATTGGGACAGCTACTTTCGCAAGTAACGATGTTATTGGAGCGTACGTACACTTGCCAACTATTTAAGTAATTGCTTGACGTTTTGTTTGATGTCTCATTAGGAAGAGGGTTTGATGCAGTCACTGCATATTTCCTCGAGTGCGGCCGCCTGACATCACTAGACCAGATTTTCTCTCGATTGTTTGATATAAGTGTCGTCTTGAAAGCGAGTTCAGAGTGCTCGTTAGCAGTGACAGAGTGCGTACACTGTTAGTAGATTTGTCTTTGCAATGTCTGAAAAAACTTATACTTTTGCGATCTAGAGCATCCTGCGTGCTTAAACGTCTAAAAGTTCTTGAATCACTTGCGAACATCGGTGAGCTGTACAACAAACACGGTCCGTCATTACTTCAGCGTTCACTCCAGCATCTGCAGGACATGCTGGCTGTCCAGTGGTCCCCATACTGTGCTGCTCAATTAGCTTTTCAAGAACTAATCGTGTCGGCACCTGTTGCGCTCTTACTAAGCCATGGAACCGAGCTTAATTATCTTTTCGAGACCATCCAGGAGTCTGACCAAGCTTCATCAGGTAATGATTACGACAGTTCTACAATAGCAGCGCAATGTGCAAGGAAGCAAAATTTCGACAAGGCGCTAATGGAGCTGGTGAAAAGAGTGCAGGCAGAGCTTGAAATCCAAAACGATTCCATGATTTTGTCAGCCGGAAATCTATACATGCAACACTGGACAGATCTACTCATTGGATTGAAGGCATGATTGCACAGATATTTACAGTTGAGCCAAAACTTTGTGATAATCACCATAATCTCTTCAGATAAAATTCGTGTCTGGATACTTTTCTGTCGCCTTATGGAGTCCATACTACTCGTTTTTAATTTCATCCGCGTCCTCATTGGCCAGCTGCAGCCATCTGTGGCGCACCGCAAGGCTCCAGAAGAAACAGGGCACAAATGGCACTAGCACGACGTAAAATCCTTCCACTTGTGGTGTGTAGAAGTGCAGGACTAAGAGCACTGCACACAGTACCGTGAAGAAGGCATATACGCCCGCGACGAAGGTGTAGTTAATAGCCGGCGACGGCGTTAAAACTTTCATTGGACTGACGTAAATATTCGGATGTGTTTTGATAATTAGAAGGTTGCCATTACAAATCTTAATTTTATGTGAGCATACATTACGTGAGTCATCATATTGGTATTGACATCAATCCTGACACAAGTCGGGAATGGTAGCCGCATCGTGCCCTGCCTAGTATTTTATCACGACACCGGAATTGTGGGCATCAATGAGCGCTGTAGTTATGTCACCGTGATGTTGCGACTCATCAAATTGACACTTAATACTTCGAATCCAGTACTGATAAAAGTGATGATCTGACTGTAACGGGACGTTCCATTTCAAGAGTGAGATGTATCCAGGATAACGTCTATGGACTTGAGTTACTTAACACTACATACATACATTTTACTATCGATGATAGTACAGATATATATTGCCCACCTGTAACAAGATTACGTGTACCCTGGTATGAAGGGGTGGGCTACACAAGATGGTGTGACCACACAATGGCGTGGCTACACCTTAACAAGAAACCATTACGTGGCAAGACTGTCAGTAGTTATGCATTTAATTAGGTTTAATAGAAAATCCTATTAATTTAGATATAGACGTTACGGGGTTGCGATCCGCTACACTCATACTGGTTCTAGTATAGAACGTGGGTCGGTGACCTTAGCTTGGCCTCCACTAAGCAAAGAGCTACGGCAGCCCCGCCGCACTTGGTAGCACTTGTAGTTAATCTACACCTGAGTCATTCTGACCGATCCTTGGTGAAGGTGAAGCAATTCCCCTATTTGCCCCAGGGCATGCAACATCTTGCTTTAGAAGGACCTGAAGCGATCAGCGCGCGCCTAGAGGCATCTTTAAACTATGAGTATGCTTTGCTAGAGCAGCTGGAGCAGAAAATGTCGGCGTCGACTGCGTCTATAACGCCACCGTCAACGACGGATGATTCCTCCCGATCCAGCTATCCTGAGGACGAGGAGGCGGAGCTCCGAGCTGCCGAGCAGCGTTCGAACACCCGACGGAGTTTTGTTTGTGAAAACATCCGTCACCTTCGAATTGTTTGTCCCCTGCGCAAGGCGCGTCAAGGTTCATTGAACCGACGCCCCGCTTCTTACCAGTATTCTGGTTTGTCGCGGGTAAATGACAAAACCCAGTAGGCCACCCCGCGCCTACGGGGGAAGAACTGAGTTTTGTTGAGCCTCAACTAGGTAGATGTCAGCTGGCCCCAGCCCCGAAGAGCTCCGTGCTCCTGAATACAGAACGTGTATGCAAGCCGAGCTTGCTGGTACCGTGAAGGGCTCTAAAAACCCATGAAGAATCCTGATCACCCCGGGGCGTCGGGCAATTATGCTTGACGCTCCACGATGGAAGGAAGCTATCTGTATGCTGAGGCGTTGAAAGCGCGAACAGTGACAACATCACTGTTCGCAAAGCAACGCGGATATGTGTCACGGTGCCAAGGGTCCATTTGGTCAAGTTTGTTGTCAGCGATAGCGTGGAACGCTACTTAGCCTTAGACTTGGATTCAAGGTATAAATAACCTCATCCTTATTATGGCATGATAGGAATATCATGAGCCATGGATCGATTGGATGTCGAAAACGTTGGGCGCTACGCGCACGTCTCCTGGTGGAGCTTTGGTGAGTCATGAACCCACCTCTACGAGGAAGCGCTGGACCGGACGGTCAACGTGCTGGGATCGGAGTATCCGAGATGTCGAACACCAAAGGTGTATTGAACAGGAGTCCTAAGTGTGGCTAGCGGGCCGAACGTGGATGTCGTGCAACCCGCTGAGCGCTGCTCAAGTATCGGATCGGAGCAGTCGCTGCATGCCATGCGTGGCATGAAAGGACGAGGTCCGAGGCATCGAGGGCGAGGCCCCAGTGATGCACGTGGATTGGCACGTTATCCATTAAACAAAGATTGCGGAAATAAAAGCTCTTTGTCATCCGACAAAGAGCTTCTATTCCCGCAATCTTAGGCTCAGAAGGAGCAGTGAGTGGGGGGGCTGGACGACGCTGAGTGCGTGTTCCCACTGGTCTCGCCGAGACGTATAACCTCTATGGGGAGTCGACGGCGATGCCATATGATATCTGCAAGACGCAGAGCGTCGACCCTGACCCAGTATGTGTCTACCGTAGACAATAGCGCACAGCCATACACCCTCGTCAACGGTAGGACGGGAGAGGAAGACGGCGGCGTCACCCATAGGCTATTAGCGGTGGATGTTCTTCTTGAACTGAACGAGATGTTCTTCGATGAGTTTGAAGTCATACGACTTAGCAGGAGTGGTCTTTATACGACCGGAAGAAGAGATAAGTCGTCGTTGCTTCTGGATGAAGCTGTAATGAAGGACACCAAGAGGATGCTAAACGCACGAATGGGATCTTCGATCCTGAAGAATCCTTCGGATTCGTACTCAAGACGGCGAATTCAAAGACCCGCCGTCGGTCCTACCTCCGGACCTAGGTGTACATCATGAGATTGGCCTGGCTCCAGGAACCAAATGCTGCGTAACACGCCAATGGCTCCTGCTCAAAACGCAGTGTAACATCATTGACGCCTTCTTCCGTGCGAAGCACAAAGCAGGACTTCTGCGTAAGAGCAAGTCTCTTCATTCGACACCCACGTTGGTGTCCGGAAGCCGAATGGCAAGTCGTGTACCGTTTACACTTACACTAAGCCAAATACTGCCACCAGAAGCCGATTCTTAGAAAGGATGCTCTTCAGAATGACATGGTTGGATGTACAAAGTACAGTGCCTCGACTTGATCGATGGGTATTGTCATTTGCTCATGAGAGCGAGTAGTATTCCGCTGACAGCGGTGAGTATTACGGACGGCATGGTCTGGAAGTGGCTGGTGATGGCCCAAGGGCTGTTAGCAACATTTAATTGTAGTTGTTCAGGCCCCATCGGGCGTATGCACTGACATACTTCGACGACATCTCGTCCACAGTCGTGCTCCGAACGGAAGGACAGATGTGGAAAACTACATCGTCCATTTGAGAGCGGTGCTCGAGTGCATGCGCACGAACAAAGTGTGTGCTAATGCGGACCAGTGAATCTTCGGCGCCGAAGGAATCCCCCACTTTAGGGTGCTTCATTGCGAAGCGTGGCCTTCGAGCGGATTCCACTACGGCCAAGGCCATTGTGGATTGGTCGGTTCCAAAGAACTAAAAGGACTTGCGCAAGGGGTTTGGCCTCAACAACTACTTGAACAAATACAGCGTGGAATATGCGAAAATGGCACGGCAATTGTCGAACCTCCTTGAGAAGAAAAGGAATGGTGTTGGAACACCGAGCATCGGGAAGCTTTTGACGGGGCCAAAAACAGCCTCCTTCTTGCACCAATACTGGCGTTACGAGACCCCGATCGTCCTTATAGTGGCGTCTGTGACGCTTCGAAGTTTGCCATCGGCTGTGCACTGCTGCAAGCAGACGCCGAGGCGAGATTGGGTGATTGCGTCCAAATCTCGCCATCTAAAGGCTGCGGGGAAGAACTATTCAGCCCACGACAAGGAACGACTTGCGATGAAGTCTGTACTTGTCATGTTCAGGATGCACCTGCTTAGCTCAAAGCCGTTTCTGATCTATGCAGATCATGCGTCATTACGCACTGCGACTCAGTCGCCTCACCTCTCGCAGAGAATGGCCAGATGGCTCTTCTTCTTTGGAAATTATAACTTCTTTGAGGTGAAATACAAGCCGGGAGAGCAGAGTGATTTAGCGTATGCGTTGTCACGCAGACGGGTTATGAGCTTGAACATATCACAACGGTGACGTCGTTCGTGACGAATTTGATCCGCGTCGCATACGCGGATGATGACATAACCGTATACTCTATGAGGCCCACGACGCCCCGCTCGGTGGTCATCTCGGTCATGACAAGACGTTCAGCTCTGTGGGTTGCTACTACTGGTGCCTCAAGCTGTACAAATGGACGAGCACATTAGTGCGCACGTTTGAATTTGTGCTGTAGGGTGAAACCCTCTTCGAATGCGGCGGCGCCACAGGCCAATTTGCCGATACCCTTCAAGTGTTCGCAGTCCATGACTATAGACTTCGTGTTTGACCTGCCAAAAGACTCGGCTGGCAACACGGTCTTCGTCGACCATTTGAGCAGGATGGCTCGTCTTGCGACGGTACCGGACACCATCGACGGTGTCATTACAGCGATGCTGTTTGTGGATAGTGTCTCACGACAATATGGACTACCGGTCTCTGACAGAGACCGGAAGTTTTGTTCGACGATCTTCAAGGTGCCGGGTACCAAGTTGATTATCCCAACAGCGGGTCATCCGCAGACCGATGGTCAAACTGAGCGCGTGAATTGCGTCATTGAAAATGTCCTACGCAGCGTCTACGCTGAGACGCCAAAGCGCTGGAGCGCCATACTGGTTCGCTCTACACAAACTACTGGCTAAATGCCGTTCTACTTGAACGGGCTTCTTTATACTCGCGTCCTACTGACGACGCGCTCAGGGCTAGGTGAAGGAGGAATAGCCGAGCGGCTAGCTGATGTCAGCCTTCCCACGTTCGTAAGGAAGTCGATGGACTTCCTGTCTACCGGACTGAATGTCTTACGACACGTTCACGATGCGATGGCTGAAAACCAGGACATGCAGAAAGAATATGTAAACGGAAGAAGCAGAAGAAATGTTAAAATCTTTGAGGTCGGCGACCTGGTTTTATTAATTTCTAAAATCTTTTTACACATGCCGTTTTCTTTAAGACAAAGCTCCGTTGACGGTTCATCGGACCTCTAAAGGCCGTGGTCAAGCGGGGCCTTGCGTAAACGCTAAACTTTCCGAAACGGATGCACACCCACCGTGTGCTTCATGTGGGCTTGCTCAAGACGTACCGCAAGGGAATGCGGAAGTGTTGGCGCCAGAGCGGCGCCGAAAGGGGATCGACCACCCAGAAGCTGGACCAGCAACTGGTTTTGATCACGGAGTGCAACGGTCACCATCGTAAGCGGCACCAAGCGCTCCACCTTCGCATGAAGCGATGCATTTGTCTGCTTAATGGTTAAGAGCCTCTCTGACAGAGCGCGATAGTCCTCGACGTGAGGCAACCGGTGCACAACGTGCTCCAAGATCTCTTGGTGTTTCGCACAGCGGGATGCGACCCCAGCATGATGCTCAGTGGAGTTCCGATCGCGAAGGACCTTGCTCTCAAGAGCTCGAAGAGCATCGCGAGTCACCAAACGACGATCGACCAAATCGTCACCGTCCGCCGACGACTCTTCTCGACGAAAGCGGTGATGTCTACTGTTCACTATCACGCGGAATGTCATGTGGGTTGATGTCATCGCATGGGTCAAACCTGGTGTATCGTGAAGTGGTGGGGATACCCCGACTCCGAGAACTCGTGGAGGTTTGGGGAGCC